GGGGGGGGGGGGGGGGGGGGGGGGGGGGGGGGGGGGGGGGGGGGGGGGGGGGGGAGAGGAACGACGAGGGTGCGGAAGAGAGTTTTCTTCAGTTTTAGCTTTAAACCCCGACTCTTCCAGCGGTCCCTCCGCTGTGGATCCGCCTAATATCTAATAAAATTCAGCGCATAGAGCCGGATGCCAACTTCACTATCGAAACATCTCTGTGCACAGTAGAGTGAATCTTGAGAATCAGGTCCCGAAAGCACTTACCCGCAGCTCCGCAAGAATCCGCCGATTCATTCGACGAACGAGTATTTGTGCCAATGCAATGCGCGGGTGCACTGCTATCTCTGAAAATTGAGATGCTACCCAGTGATGATTAATTTTAAAAATGAGAAAGCAAAAGCATAGTGCAGTTTTTAAAGCTCAAAACTGAAAAGAAAAAAAAAACCTTCTTCTTGCTGGTTCGTCCTGCATCAGACAGCTGCTGGCATTAAGTGTGGCCAAACTCCATGCTTTGATTCTTTCTGCTGCACTTGCACGATCTTCAACACGCTCCGTAAAACTGTTACTACTTCGACGCGATGCCTGTGCGTAATATGAGAAAGTTGCTGCAGTTCATTGATTTTAAAAATAAAATTATAGGGAATGCTGTAACTTGGGACGAAACTCAGACCGCCAAAAATACTAACTGCTCGCCCTTTGAACGTGGAGTAGGAAAGAAAGAGGGAAAGGGCAGGCTTCCAGGATGTAGTAAAATCGCACACTCAAAAAGAAATATCCCGTATGCCGCATCGCACTGTTCCGAGCAATTTTGCATTGTGGTCAAGCAACAAAAGAATACCAGGAGAGCACTGAAACGTGCACCCAGCAACGCCTGAGAGAGCGAGTACGGTGCGCTGCCTCTGGACTCTATGCAGTAACAGCCCGTGAAAAATAAAGCCAGTTTCGAATAGCCACTAAGAACTCTCAATGGCCATAAACTGAGTGCGATGAGGTTCTAAAATATGCGCAACTGAGAGGCACACACGATGAATACAAGATCCAGTATCCCCAAAAGATACATCTGTTGACGGAAAGTCTTGAGATACTACAACTGTAAATGAATGAAATAAATTGGCAGAATCAAAAGAGCCAAGCAAACCAGCACATACTCCTTCACGATTGTCGGTTTAAAACGTCTTAAACTACGATAATCGTACAGGGTTACATCTGTGACTAACCTCCAACAGGATACTCCACAAGGAAATCACAGCTGAAGATGATGCAAGTTAAGGCAGTTAGTGTTGGAGTCACCCACTCGTCATAGTTTGCCTATCTAACATTCATGATTGTAGTGGATTCCCCGTGCAGTTTTACTAACTAAAAGAAGTTACTTTTAAAGAAATTCTCGCCGCAGAGCGAGCTTGTCGAATTAGCGCTTTTTCATATTCGGGAATATTGGAAACACGACAACAGTAAAGTAGACTGCTGGATTCCGGAAGCGCTTCCATTCGACAGTACATCAAACGAAAATTCTTGATGCGTTCTTTCAGGCGGCGAACTGCCTTCAGCTGCTCCATTACCATAACCAGTTGCATGCATTTCACTTTGACACGGCTCGGCTCACTATTTTTCTCATGCTACAATGCAATGGACTGATCTTCAGTTATAAAAAATCCTTTTCAACAACCACAACATGTCGTTACTAAATACCGTATATGAATATTAAACCAGGGTAACGATGCACTAGACTTGCCGGTACGATCATTCATCTTTGTGCTAAACTCCAAGCAAACAGATCGTCGAGAATGAGTACTTGTTGCTTTATAATTTAATATGTGCATTCATGCTGGCAGTGTTTTGGTCTTTTCTTACATGCA